ATTTGAATGAGTTTGAAAACAGTAGGTCATTTCATTCACTAGCTATGTATGAAAATACCTTTATGTGTTTTCGTTTCGGAGATATTCAAAATGGCGCAGAGCACTGCAACAGCTTGTTTAATAATTTAGTGCGAATTTTATGAAAATTGATGCATTTTAGACATAATATATGGTTAACAAAGTGGTATTTAAATTTAACGAGAAATTCAAGAATGCAATAATAAGTAGAGCATTTCATCTGAAAAAATGAAGTTAGGTTGCCTTTAGGGAAAATGGGACACTCCATATAATCGAAAATAATTTTAGGATTTTTGTAAGAAACTTTTTCTTCGACTGTAAAGCAGTTATTGAGGAATTGCGCTTGCTTGGGATACCCTGTATATTTAGACAGCATTAATAGTAGACAAATCAATAAAAATACGAGCACATCAAATCGTTTGCCCTCTTGTGATAGAAATATATTTATCTATCAGGTTGTTTTATGTTTTACTGGCGAATTAGACGATTAATAATGAATTCGGCTATTTTATTGCTGTCCGAATTTATGTAGTTACTGTGGGTCCACATTGGTAACGTATCACTAGCTAAGTTCTAGATATAAAAGTCCATATGCTACTAAGATATCGACAGTAAAGCGTCAATAATCCTTTTTTTTTTTATAAGTTTATGTTAATAAATTACAAAATACCTAAGAAAAAAGCGACGAAGACTTCACTTAGGAAAGGGGAGGAGGGCGTTCCCTGTAAAATATAAAGAGTAAATGGGTAAAACATAACGTAGGGAATGCCTTAGTAATTAGACATTTTCTTTGACAAATTAGTCTCCAAAAGTAAAAAAAAGAAAATTTTAATTGTGAATTCAGTTTTTCCACAGTTGGACAACTTAAAACAGAAATTATTAAGTGTCATTTTAGTAGAATATTAATTAAGTACTTATAAATAAAACTACAGTAAAATGAAACACTTAATTTAAGTTTCACTAAAAGCTTTTTTTGAATTTCCAAGCACTTTAAAGTTAAAAAAAAAGAAAATTTAAAAAACCAATGATTTGAGGACCAAAACGCGTCAAAAATTCAATAGATATTTCCTTTTAGCGAAATTTAACAATGTTGATGACAAAACCTGTCTTGATAAAGACAGCCATTTAGGAAGAAACTGTAGATATCTGAACAAAGGATACCCTCTTATATTATCAACTTACTAATTACTTAATCAAAATGGACCAAACTAATCTGTAAAATAGCTTATTCTTATTAGTTTACTCATAAATATTGCGGCATCTTAATAAGGCAAACTACTCCGCTGAAGTTTTCAACTTAAGCAAATTTAATTGTTCAATTTTATTTATGAAAACTAAGTGAACTTAACGAAACGATTAGGTATATTATACTCAGTTCCTCAGTGGTAACTTTATTATGGTCCATCCATGCTCATCTGTAAGCATGAATGTATTATATAATATTTTATCTGGTATTGTATCGCTTTTATTAAATAGCCACATGGAATNAAAATTGCTAAACAAGTAAATGTAAGTAAAATCTTGTATTAGTGGGTGTTACCGACTAGATACAAATTAAGGAAATGTACTTTGTAATTTTCTATCTTCGTTGCTCTTTCACAAAAGGGGAGCGATTTTGCGTATAATATACTCACAACTTCCTGAAAAAATAATTGCTACCTACTCAGAATGCTAACCTACCCCCTTTTTCTCGACTATTAAGCGAATATTTTATAAAGTTAAAACGAACTTTTGCATAGAAATTTTACAGCCCTTAAGAATTTCTAAAGAATGTGGAAATAAGTGTGGTAAACTATAGGTCTAAGGAGAAGTTTGCTCAGTTTTTTTTTGTCAAACAACCTACTAATTTACTTCTGAGCGGCTTCTAATTTTTAATTCCCTTTTTATATGTGCAGCAACGAACTCTTGACACGGTCTTTTCGCTGATTCTGCAACTGTTTGGCCTACAACTTAAAAGCTCTCTCGCGGCTTTGAGAGGGAGTAGTGTCATTATGTTAGATCAATATAGCAACTTTTTTCACTAGCTGACACATTGCTTTGAATACCAAGAGTTCGTACCGAATAATGTTGACACTTGTTAGCATTATAACTTTGTTAATTACTCTAACAAGGATTATGTTAATAAGCGAAGGAATACCTTCATAACAGAAACCGTAAAAAAGTTTATATTAAAGTAGAAAAATTTGCTAGGAATTGAACAGGAAACTAAAATGACTAAACCTAGATGAAGTCAAATTTGCCATCTTTGCATAACAATTGAAAATCTTCATGTAGAAGATCCATTGTTTAAATTTTAACACACACAGGCAGAATTGAAGAAAGATATTTCTAGTAGTGGAGTAAACGTAGTCAAACAAGAAGCATTGTTTCAGAATAATTTGTAACTGCATAAAAATTCAAAACAATCTTTGAAATGTCTTATAAACAGGTTAAAGTTCAATGTCTACCGGTTGGTGTTGTACGCTAAACCCCTTTTTTTATTAATAACAAAAAACTATAAAATTAGTTGTTAAATGATGTATCTCGAAAATTAATTAAGGAAAAATTATTAAAATCAGGTACTAGTTCTTGGTTATGCTGATTACGAATTTGATGTCAGATTTGCAAAATTCAAAATGGCGGATACAAAATGACCGATCAAAACGTAGAAAAAATGCGAAAAAATATTGTAATTTCGGTTCGAATTTGGTAGTTGTTATAATATATATTGTCGTATTCTTCTCGAATTTTCCACTTATATACGATTTTTTTAAAAAACGATTTAATCAGATAATTTAATTTTACATTGTTGTTTATCAATTTAAAAAAGACATAGTAGTCACCATGTATCCATGTGTAACACTTAGTAAAATAATTAGTTGTGGTAAACTTAATTCTTTATTCAAAAGTCTCGGAATTGTCTAATAATCGTGTTTTTACCAATTTTCGCGTTTATTCTTTTTAAATGTTATTACATTCGAAAAAAAAAAATAAAACCAAGAAGTATTTTTCAAGATTAATATCCTAGATAACACATTTAGACATTTAAATAAAAATAAATAATTTCTTTTTTATTACACTTTCAATAGTGTTAAATTTTCGATTTTTTTTCTTCTAAAATGTATAGTTCGACTTATTCGTAAAATATAAAAACGCGCATGTATCACAATATAAATCATTGTAGCTTTAGCATACATCCTCACCTTCTAATTGATAACTTATAAAGTGCCGATATCACGATATTAAGTTTTGATATTGACGATTGAAATTTGTTTGTTTTCGGTCTGAATTTCCTAAACTAATTTATTTTATATGTTTCTAAATACGTATTTTAGATACTCTCTTTAAATATGCTATCCAAATATATGTTTTTCTGTTTTTAATAAATTATTCATTTTACAATGTTTTTTACTAAATAATCTTTAATTTATCAAATGATCCGCTAGATATGTAAAAATTAAAATATTTAAGAAAACACTTAAAAACATGTAATACATCAAGAAAATTATCTTCTTTCATTCTTTATTGGTTTCATATCATTTGCTTTTTGCAATCAAAAGTTACAGTCATTTACGTACAGCGCGCACTCCCATTGCTTAGCATTCGGGAGGACGCCGGTTCGATTCCGGGTCTGTCTGCCTTGGTCCAAGTTTTTCTGTGGTTTCCTTGGATCACCTAGCAAATGCTGGGGCAGTAATATTCCACAGATAATCTTTCACTTTCTTCTGTCTTCATTTCGTCAGTCTCATCTTTCTCGCCAGAACCACCATCCACCCATTCCCACGATTCCTGAAAGCAGGCTGAAGAGGGCCTTCCGCCCTACCTTCCGGCGTAGTCCGGAGGGACTGCCCGCCCACCAGCATTACTGACTGGTGGGAATGAAACACCCAAGTTTTTTTTTTACTCCCGCAAGCCTATATCTGAGCGTCAGTAAGCGATCGGTGCAGCATCCTTTGGGACCTGAAGTTAATAAATTTCTACTCACTTTATTTTAATACCAAAAATACATATCCTATTGTTTCTTTTGTTTGGCACTATCAGGTTTTCCGTAAAAAAGTTTTTTTACTTAAAAAGTTATTCGCAAAAAAAAATTTTGCTCTTAAATTGTTAAATAAAAATAGAACGCGGACATTTTTTTCAGTAGACTTTTAACTACGTTATTCTAGCATACTTGAAGAATGTTGTTCACCAATGTCCACTTGGTTACAAATTTTTCCGAAGTGAAACTCTTCGCTTACTCCACTATAGAACATTTAATTATACTTCATTTACTTTCTCTAGCGATGTTCCCCTTCCAATATCTTGGATGCGCGTTGGCAAAATCGTAGGTAGGGAGAAAAAAGCTTATTATACTATCGACTCTTTTTCATTAAACATACTTTTTCATACAGTACCTGCCAAAAATTTTGTTTAATCATGAATAGTAATGCGAGTCAAAAACAAACGTTAAAGCCTTTAATATGTCTTCAAATATAAATAAACATCTCGTTGATATTTTCAGTAGTAATTGGTACCAATAACAGCACATTTCAGCAATGCAATTGTAGTGGATAAAATGGTCAATTTTTCCGTGCAGTACTGTACGGATTATACGTTCCTCACCGGTTAAGAGTTTGGCCGAGAGTTGTCTCCTTCCTTTTCTGTCCTAGTGCTGTTCTTTTCTACTTTGCACCGGTCAAACTGAAGGTCACATCGCTACAGAAAGTAAACGAAATATACTTTGTTTATATTAGAAGCGATTAAAATATTCACTTTCGTCGATCACACAGTTTTAAATTGAAAAAGGTGATATTTAAAATTTTTCAACACACCAAATCATGAAAATCTGCAAATACCATATATTAATAAGTGTACACTGCTACCAAGTAATTTACTTAAATTATTACTTCCTGTTGCCTGTTTGATGGTTTCTATATTGAAAAAACATTGCTCATTATCGTAAATATCAAACGTTGCCGTGCTGCCGCTATAAGATAATTTACATTTTATGAAATTTGTTTCAGAGCTGCGACTAACAAACGGGTGTTGACACGAGAATTAGCTGATGTGCAAAATGAAGTTTTATCCAGAAATGATACAGTGAGCTCCATCATAATCGACTTTTCAGATAGTGATACAACGAACCAACGTTCTCAAGGGTATAACAGCACATCTTTAAGGAAACTGAACAGTAAAAGGTCGATTCTCAACGATGCAGTCAGTCGTAATATCACATTGGTTCTGGAGAACTTGCTAAAGAATTACGAAAGCTCTCAACTACCCACTCACGGCAAGGGCAAGTACATCATTTTAACATTACATTTTATCTTGCATTAGCGTCTGGCAATACGGGGCACACTAGTATAGTTGAGATATAGCAGAACAAAAACCGATGCTCGTGATGTACCTACATCATTACAGAGGCAATGCAAGAGCAATTCCCCTAATACAATATTCCTGTTGAAATTTAAACTTGGCAGTTATTTTTCATATTCATCGGTTGGCAGCTCTGCCAGCAGTTTACGTTTTTGGTGTGTTATTGCGTTTCACCTGTTTCATCTTTTTTAATCCTTTAAGACTTTCAAATTTAAAATTTATCAATAAATAACAAATAGAGTAAATCATATTTCTAAAAATGCCAATGCAATTAAATAACCTAACCTAATTATTTTCTACATAATCAATTTTTTTAGAGGATTTGATCACATTGGCTTGATACGTCACCTTTCACTTCAATAACGTAATGCATAGGATGCATCGGCTTTATTTTAGATTAGTTATAGGTGCATTTCTAATACCTCCATTAATTACTTCTTAGAAAAGGAAGCGACATTTTGTTTTTCAAAAAAAAGTGACAAATACTCTTCAAGAATTCTTAAGACTCCAAGTAGGATCCTTTTTAGTATGGGAAATACTACTAGGGTCATTTATATGAGTTTTATTCGAACAACAAATGTAACTCTCAATAGGGGTCGACGGTGGAAGTTCACTGTCGTTAGCCCTCTTACCAGGTCAGCAGTAAATTTAAGGAGTTTCCTGATCGATTCCAAAACTATTGAAAATCAATAAAAATTTAGGATATTCTTATTTTCAACTTGATAAGACATTACAATAAATTTCAAATGGATTTACTGAACCGTTTATCAGTTATGACGATTTTAATTTTCATTAGTTTTACATGGGTTCTTATGGAAAATATATATCTAATCGGATATATAAATCAAATAAAAATAGAAAAAACGATTGAGCTTTTTCCAATTTTCTTCCATATTATTCGTTATTTCTTATTTTATTCAAAGTTTTTACTTAAATTTCAAATTTTCTCTCAAACCGTATACTTTTTTTTTTAGTATAGATAGTATTTATTTACCTCATGATATGCTGCAAAACCTAATTAATCACGAATTTCTAATTTTATGTACTCTTGTCTCCGATTGTACCTCCCAAACATCCTTAAATAAACTCACAAAAGATAAATATTCGATAGTTGAATAATGTTGATGCGTTGAATCTAACGCTAACATCTGGGCATATTTATATTTTGTTACGTCGTTAGTTTAATTAATAGAAATTCCTAAACAGACATTCGCCTGAAAATTTCAATCCCAAATCCCATTGCTTTGCACTATATCAGCCACCTTTGCCATAAACGAATCGCCAAATTATAGAGCGAATAATTTAGAGAATTTAAGCACTTACTAATCCGGGTCATTATTATGCTTAAAAACTCAAATTGACTTCTGAAAAATAATTTTTCGGTACTAGATTTGATCCTACGAAAACTGGATTGAAACTGGCTTGAAGATGCTTTTAGTTAAGTAACCACGATAAGGCTCTTTTTCATCTCCTCGTTCTTTTCGCTTTCGTCCCTTTTGACATTATAATCAATAGCATAGTTGAGAACGTCCGGAAGTGTTTTGTCTAAAACTTGCATCCCGTTACCTTTACCATCTAATTATTTCCAAGTAATAGCAAGAAATTTCAAATATTTGTAACTATTTTGCTGTGGCAACTTCACATCATCATGCCTACATATAACTGGTTTCAAATAGTTAGAGTTGACCTTGAGGAAAGCTGCGCGTATAGAAAAAATACACATTAGGCGTCAGAAAGACAGATAGCTTGAACGATATAAAATATAATTGAATTTAGAATTTTGCCACGATGCAAACTGCTAAAGGGAAGGGGTATATCTCAAAACGCTTGAAATGAGTTATTTTATTTCACGCATGTTTGTTTTCTCTTGACCACTAATCACAAACGGTACTAATAATACTTAGAATCACAAAAAATCACTTTTTGACGTGACAACGTCTTATAATTCGATGGAGCCGGCTGCACGCACAAAAAAACATGACTCATGCGGCATTACCTTGCTCTGAGGCGTTCCATTTAAGGCTTGAAGTGCAAGCGAGAGCGCGGAACGAGCGACAAAGAGACACAATCGGCCTCCGCGTTCGGCAGCGTTCGACATCTGTCTCTCTCCTACTTGAGTGAGCGATGCGTCCGCGTGGACAGCTGCTATACAATAATACATTTCCATTTACCTCCTTCTCTATATCCATACAAAATATCTATCAAACAAATAAAATTAAAATTTTCTATTGAAAAATGAAACCATTCCATCAGTATTTTCTTATGACGTTGTCACGTTCAACTATCGTCAGTAAACCGACTTTACAGACAACCGATTGTTTTTTGTTCAACTTAAGATTCCAGCAGTTGCGTCAAGATTTTTCAATATACCCAAGATACTTGCGTAAAATGCGAGGTCTGTGAATTTTCTTAATAAGTTTCTGTCCTGCATACACTTCTTTTAATGGGGAATCCTATAACTGTTAGAGTTGCAAAATGACCTTGGGTTAAATGTATTTTTCTTAGAATAGTAATTTTTTGCGAAGCCCTTTAAAGCGTGAGGCCATCAGGGGTCTCCAACGTATAAATCAGAAATTTGATGACAGTATTCAAGAATACCAAAATTAGAAGGAAAATAGTAGAATGAAGATTCGGTCCATAGGGCCGTGGTCTAAGTGAACTATTCTCTCCAGACGTTTCGTCATCTCCTGCGGCTGACATCCTCAGTGGTAGTGCTGCGTTGACAACGTGAACGTAGATTATATCTCGAAGTCTCGACAGCGACCTTCGTTCGCATTGTCAACGCAGCACTACCACTGAGGATTTCAGCCGCAGTAACGAAACGTCTGGACAGAATAGTTCACTTAGACCACGGCCTAACATAAGAAGCTAACTGTTTCTTATCTTTATTGATAATAATATAATTTTTGTATAATGGCAGTAACTAATATATTCCATAAAAAAAAGTTTTAACTGAATTATTTTCACAACATGACTCCTGAGGTCCTAAGTTGTGACAAATTATATTAGTGTTGGACAATAACGAAACCAAGACCAAGGTTGTCCGAATCTTAGTATTGATCATGGTCTTGCTTATTCGCTCTTAGCATTGCTCTTGCTTAAGTACTTCTAGTCTTTGTCTTGATCTTGCGTATTAAGTTTCGATCTTGCTCATTTAATCGAATACTTACATTTTTTAATAATTCTTCTAAGCACAAATTTTTCTATTTACCGACACAATAATTGTCTTAAATGCTGAAGTTGTCTTTTAAACGTGTGAAATTGTCATGACTTTTAAAGAAAATAGTATCCATAGTTGTGAGAGTTTGAGAGACTTGAGAACTTATCCTACCTTCAATGAATAAATTGGCCCTTCCTCAAATGCATAGGTTGACCTTTTAGCGAAAAAAATAGTACTATGTACTCGAAAGAAGTAAATAATATTAAAAAAATAATTTGTCTCTACATTTCAATCAAGTATCATCCAGACATAGAAACAAAGAACACGTACTCCGAGCACATTCTTGTAGATTTCTTTTTTTCAAAAAGTTTTTTTTTTATTTAGTCTTAAAATCTAGTAAAGCAAACTGAAAATTTCAAATAGTAAAAATATTTTTCTCCAAAAAAAAAATAAGTATATTAAAGATGTTTCAAATAGTTTAACTCATAAATCCACCGAAAGTAATAATTATTTGTTTAGTCTTACGTATTTGGCCTTGGTCTTACATATTAGGTCTTAGTTTTATTCTGGGTCTTGTTCGTTTAGTGTTGGCTTTAGTCTTTGTCTAGCTCTTTCGCTCTTGGTTTTAGTCTTGGTCTGGATCTAGCTAATATAAAAACTAAAGTCTTGATCTTGATATTTTCGCAAAACCAAGACTAAGACTGTAAAACCAAAACCATCACTAAATTGTATGATCCAATCAGGATTTTAGATGCGAAGAGATAACTCAGCTTAACCATAGACTAAAGTATTTGCATTATATATTTTCGAAATTTAAAAACTTTCCCAATAGAAATAGAAATTAATATTTAGGAAAGGCATTTAAAATAGAAAATAAAATAGGTATTTTGCATTTTGTATTTTTATTTTAAATGGAACTACTTCAAATAAATTACATCTCTGCTAAACAGATATTAAATCTCTTCCTTCTTATTGAAGCTTTGATTTTGTTTTAATCCGAAAACTCGCTTGCACGTTTATAACAGTTTCAACGGATTTAACAAACCTATGTACGTACCCGCATAGTCCCAACTAAGTAAAAAAACCTGTACACAAACAAATTACGAATACTTTTACGGAATAGGATTTAAAAAACAAATCNAAAGAGTGGAGGTGCGTGTCCAACCAGTCTTAGGATTGTCCTTCTTATTGAAGCTTTGATTTTGTTTTAATCCGAAAACTCGCTTGCACGTTTATAACAGTTTCAACGGATTTAACAAACCTATGTACGTACCCGCATAGTCCCAACTAAGTAAAAAAACCTGTACACAAACAAATTACGAATACTTTTACGGAATAGGATTTAAAAAACAAATCAACTCTCGAGGAAAATGTTCAAAGCCCTGCAAAGAATCTCAGCAATTGGCAGAATTTCAAAGGAAATACTATTTCAAATTTCTAACTCGCAAAAATGTTTCTGTATAGTTAACATTTCGTACCTATCTGAAAGTATTTTTCATCAGTAGGCATCTATCTCACAATTTTTGATCCAATTATTTAACTTATAATATATATAATATTAGGTTAATACATATTTCAAAAATATCTAACTACCCCCCTCCAAAATGAGGAAAGTTGAACTGGTTTAAAAACCGATAATACTTTTGAAAATGTTACACTGTGTTACATTAACGGAAAAGATGCTAAAAATACTTAAGGATGTACAGATAGTATATACCAGGGATGGCGAACCTTTACGTATCGATGTGCCATTTTTATAAAGAAAAGTTTAATCAGGTCAAAGGCGTGCCATCAAATAATTTTGTCTCTGTGATTATTGGGAAAATAATAATAATAATATCAACTTAAACTTTTTTATTTACTACAAAAAAATAGGAACATTTTGCAATGTTTAAATTATACGTGTAATTTAAATTAAAGTAAAATTAGTGTNTCTAGGTTGTCATATCCCATTTCTAAATCGAACTCCAGACTGTTGTTGATGTCCTGGACGCAGGAATTAGGGCTACCTTTTGCGTAAACCTTTCCATCGAAAATTTTATTGGTCTGTATCCGTACCATCACGTCTCCGGAACGACAATCGATGCTCACGTTGTAACATGATGACAGCTCATATGTTGTCGCTTCAGGTACATCGAGATAAGGGTCCTGTAATTTTTAGTTGGTTATTTCAAAGTTACTTTTTTCTTTGAACTGTTTAACTGCTTTCCCAGAACGCAGGTACGACACACACATTTACAAATACGGCGCACATGAAGAAAGGCGCTCGCGGCTAGTCGGCGAATCGATAAGCCGTCCACGCACACGTATGCCCGATCGCACACAAACACGCTCGTGCTCGCTACAGTACCTATAAGAAGCTGAAGTGGACCTTCCTACCTACCCTTCGTCTTTGCATTAAAATATAGGTCGAAGAAACTGAATGCCCACCAGCATCATCAGCTGCTTTGTTTTCACTTTTTTTTAGCAGCATTGGTTCTTCAGCATTCTTCTGCTATTGATGGATAATCTGAAACAGAAAAACACGCTTGCTGCTTCAAATTAATAATGAGTCTACGAAGCACCTTAAGAACTTAAATAAAAAGTTATTCTTTCAAAGTAACCAATATGAATCAAAACATCCCCAACTTTTAGGACAACTTACAATTAGACTAAATGAACCTTTAGAAGTGATAAATGCAGTTCAAACATAAAAAATAAACAAAAAACTTCACTAATAAACATGTTTTATGTTTCACGAAAGACCAGCAGAAATTGTTTAATTAGTAAAATTTTACGTTTTCATAATTCTATTTGGAAGTTTTTTACTTCTAATACTGCTACTCTCTGCTTGGAACTATTTCATAAACTAAATACTTAACTTAGTAGAAAAAACCCACAAGATGCTCTAGAATTCCTACCCCAAATAATTGATTTTCCTTTTTATAAACCTTTACAGCTGAAAAAAAAGAACATTTCATCAAAAACTCACAAATTAGCACAAATATTATAACGCATATTATTAGTAATCAAATTTTTCGTTTTGAGATCATGCAATCTCCAAAATTGAGCGACTTTTGCACAAAGTAAAAACTTCAGTTTACAATTTTACCTCAAGCAATGAAAAATTTTGATCCAGCACTGATTTTATTTTTATATACAACTAAAATTCATTTAATATTTTATTTTTCAAAGAAATAGTGCTCGCGTCATAAACCTTTGATACATTTCACATTATATTGCGATATAAAGGCTAGCTATTACTCCACTCTCTCGACAGCTTCATTTTGTTTTCGTTTTTCAGTTCTAAATCAATTTGTAGAAAGTCATAAAGTTAGACACATTTCGACAAAAAAAAATGCGAAAATTTCCGAATATTCGCTTAATGTAACTATACACATCCCTTCCCCCAACTGTGTCAAACTGACGAGCCATGACTTCACGTTCGGAATAATTCAAGAGACAGAATTTTATTAACTTCACAGCTCGGCGAACGCTAGAGTTATATACTTAATTAGACTTTTTTCAAACAAATAGAAAAAAAAGTATTTATCATTTTAGAAAATACTACAAATGGCGCAGTAAACGTCATCTGTAGCACGATGCTACATTTTAGGATTATGTATGCTCCAACAAGGTTCACTTGTGTGGATATCTACTTGCTGAAAACGAATCCTGGCAGTTTCGACAGAATACAGACCACTTCGAATTATTTTATTCGATTAATCTAACGTGCCTATCACGTTGAGGTTGACTACGTCAGGATTCGTTTTCAGCAAGTAGATATCCACACAAGTGGACCTTGTTGGAGCATACGTAATCCTAAAATGTGGCATCGTGCTACAGATGGCGTTCACTGCGCCATTTGTAGTATTTTCTAAAACGCACTGTTAAGACAGCAGGTTGGTCTGTGTTCTGTTGGAGCCTGCGACGCTCTGATGAGATCCAAAAAGATCGAAAGCGCGATCCGCGTCTGTCAGTTTCGACAGAATACATACCAGTTCGAATTATTTTATTGTATTTATCATTGTTTCTTGTTCATTAAAAATATACACTACGTCTGATCAGCAATCCGAAATATTTAAAAGATAACATCTGGAGGCATTGTAGAGTGCATCTCGTGATATCGCCGCAACGTAGGGGGTGTAAACGCTATGCACAAAAAGTTCCCCATTTAATGAGCTTTCAATGACTGAGAACATTCATCAGGTTGGCTGCCGCGTTACCTTATCGCTCTTTGTCATTACAAGCGTCAAGTGACAAAGCACGTATCTACTTGTGACCTTCGCAACAGCTGGTACGCGGACAGGCTAATTGCACGTTATGACGACAGGTCGGTATTCTCGAAATTGTTTTGCGATTAATGGAAGACAATCCCGGTTTGAGCATCTTAATCATTGCATGACACGGTGTGGAGGATTTTAAGGGAGAATTCCCTGTATCCTTATCATTATCAAAATACGTCATACCTTTCACCATATTCGACACACTACACACAGCAGGATGTACCTAGGTTGCTTTTGCGAAATAACAGACAGTGCATTCGTTCCTTACCCTTGTTCGCATATGGACCTCCACCACTGCATGTAGTGACGCCGCGTTACACAATAATTACACTAGGTAATCCTGGCCACCATTGTCGGAGCAGTTGGGGCTTTCGGTAAGGTCATTGCCTTCATGTTTATGTATATCCCTGGGTGGTGCGACATAGTTCCTTCTATTTCTTATTCATTTTTGAATATAATAAGCCGTGGAGCGGGTTTAACCCTCGGTATCGTAAAATGTTTTTGGTTAGAAAAACTTTATAAAAATATTTCATATTTTAAGGTATCGATTGCCACCAAACAAATTAAATTTACTATTTTTGTAGTCCTTTCGATTTAACAAGATAACGGTTGAGCCGAACTTGATAATATTTCCTTCAGATCATATACTGACGTTAGTAGTTGTGATTCAGAAATGGCAACCTATAATTTATTTTCCATCAGGTTTCATGCAGGACTTGAAAACTGCTATCCTATATTTTGCATGCAATTGAATGAAGATCCCTTTTCCTCTAAGCTGGCTCTAAATTCCCTAGGTATGAAAAAATTTCTCCAGATCTGGTAAAAATAGCCTTCAACTATGCGTATTTTCTTGCTACTAAGGAGAGGGGAAAACGGCGCAGTACGCATGCCCAAAAGAAGAAGACTGTGCAGGTCTATCACAATATAAAGATTCTATACAGTAGGTTCACTTCTTTGACCTGCCTAAAATATCGACATTTTTTACAGGCTGTCATGTATTAGCTTTATGGGCGCTGAACTGCCACAATACGAGGACGCTTCAGTAGTCTTACCAAAGTGTTTAGATATAAAATATATTTGTACTGTACAATCCAGCCCCTCCTTGACTGAGAAGTCGTAGATGAAATTGTAATGGCTGGAAATTGAACCTACTGTATAGAATATTTATACTGTAGTTATGTCCTGAAATCGTCTAGCGGTTTCTCGCAGTATCAAATGTACAAAAAAAATACCAACCCTAAAATAATCTATACATTACTGGCGAATTAAGAACCAAGCAGGAGGGTATATTATTATATGCAATCACCAAGAGGCGATATTGAAAAAATATATTCCAAACATTCACCAAATGTGTAATTTCTATGTTTAGTAAAAACGCATCAGCACAAACCCTAATTCTTTAAACCTTCCTCTGTCTCTTCTCCTTTTGTAGTTAGATATACCTAAATCATAATAGTACAAACAACGTTTTAATCATTTATTCTACTCTTTTAAACTCTATTAAAAACAATATTATAATGGTACAATTGAAGCAACTTTTTTAACCACATAAAAAGCATTTCTTTTGATGGTCACGTTGACTATTTAAATAAAGTCCAACATTTCGTATCAGAGAATGACTACCTCGTTACCAATATTTAGTCAGTGTATGTTTTATAAGACAAACCAAGGTATTGTCTACGTTGGAGAGAGTTTTACTTACATAAAAGAGTCATTACTCGTTACAGAAAATATACTGCTAAATATCATCTTTAATTGCTTCATTACTGTAATTTTTTATCTTGTTGTTTGAATGCAGTTTAAGCTCGAACTCACAATCAATATTACGTTTTTCAGATCATCCTACAGTTGTTAAAACAAATATTTTAATAAGAAGTATGGGACCGGTATCGGAATTGGACATGGTGGGTTAACAAATTGGTAAAAGCTTTTGTGACCATTTGGTGAACCCATGCTGTCCTAATTCGTGTCTAAGAGCTTTTTCAAACGGGTTACTTTTTGTAACGCTTCTGAAGCGTTACAGTTGCGCGATTTTTTGAAATAAACTGTTTTACATCGAAGCTTTCAGTCGAGAGCAGCGCTTCAAAAACGTAGCGCTACAGTCGCTGAACTGTAGCAGCTTTCGCTTGAATCTCGCGACTATATAGTCACGCAATTGTTGCGCTTCACTAAGAATTACATTTACTTAAGTTAACGCTTCCACAATGGCGTATTTTTATCAATTATGGACAATATAGACGTCGAAAATTTCATAATTTCAAAGACTGCATTTGAAATATCTGCAGTGCAGACCATATGAGAAGAGTATGGGAAGAAGGAATGACTGAAAAACTTTTTTCATTTCGACGNTTTACTTAAGTTAACGCTTCCACAATGGCGTATTTTTATCAATTATGGACAATATAGACGTCGAAAATTTCATAATTTCAAAGACTGCATTTGAAATATCTGCAGTGCAGACCATATGAGAAGAGTATGGGAAGAAGGAATGACTGAAAAACTTTTTTCATTTCGACGTAAATAATAAATATATAGAAATTCTTTTATCAATCGATTGCTGTTGTAAGGATCGACCCAATATTTCCGATTCTATACAAATAGATACGTTACTACATCGGCTACAATATTGAAGCGCTGCAGAAAATCGATCTTTACACATACGAACTAGCAATTGTCGCGCTACTGTAGCGCAACGGAAGCGCTACAAAATGTAACTCGTGTGAAAAAGCTCTAAAGGCCATCGTCGGTTATAGTTGGTTCCTAACGTTTCGATAGCACGAGGGGCCAACTTCTTCAAATGTCATTCCATCTCCTATGCTGGATACGAGTCAACAACTCCAACCGATAACGGCCTTTAAATCCGAATCAGAATAGCATTAGTTCATGATGGGTTAAATCTCATAGTTATAGAATGATTGCGTATGGATTAATTACACAGGTCTGCGAAATTTTTTTTTTGAAAAGTTTTTTTCTTAAATTGTTAATATTTGTCGTAATTGTCTTAAAAGTAATAGAAAACGATATTCATATGGTTTATACCACGTCACATTAACCCATAAATGCTCAGAGAACACATTTCCATTTGAACCCTTGCCACGTAATGAGTGCGACGAAAAAATATTCGATAACCAGTGTTTCTATGTTTTTAACGATGCTCTTTTCGATGGTGTTGGTTAAAAATACCTCCGACAATATTAAAGCATGGAAAAATCGAAAATAAACAAAAAAAACGTGATTTTTGAATTGACTTTTTTCTTAAAAAGTAATTTTTTGTGTCCTTACGATTTTTTTATATGCTTAAAACCTATATAAATCATGACCTCGATATCTAAACATGAAATAATCACCGTTGGTCAAGTCGAAATGCCTTTACAAACTGTTTGATCAAACCAAGTTTAATGTAAAGTGGTGGAAGCAATACTTTCTTCTTTCAAACTCGTATTGATGACATTTTTCACTCCGACTTCCAATTGCATTCTAATTTGGACATAGAAATACCGAATAACAATGATTTTGATTTACCATAAGTCCACTGTCTTAACACTTCAACACATAACCGGCATATTTTATCGTAACCCAGTGTTTATCTTGGTGACACAACTTCATTCTGAAGTAAGCTTAATAAGCATTTTTTACAAAGTCTGTTATATTCAATCTTTGCTTAACTATTGTATATTGTCCGCAAATGTAAAAAAATACATTTGAATTGTTTTTACAACTCCGAGAAGCCATAGTTAAAGATAAATGAAACACAATCTTTTATTACACGTTAATATTATATCTCTCTCAATAATGGCGCGCTATAAACTATTTTTTTTTTAGGCGGTGTAAACGACTATAGTTACTTTCAGACTATCTAAAATAAAGTAAAAGACAATATAATGCTCAGTCAGAGAGTATTAAATAGAAATATAAACTATAAAATGAATTTTGTGAAAAAACAAATAAATTTGCCGATTCAAAGAGCTACATATATATACATATATTAATCTACATACAAACAAAATGTGACGTGATACGTTAAAACAAAGTTTATATTTGCAAATTATAGACCAACATTTACATGCTTAAGATAAATTTATACAAAAAACTTTTTTATCGCAGACCTGTGTTATTATTCAATGACATTCGTCTTTTCGTACTGCCTCATATCACAAAGGGGTTATGATTAGCTACATACAAAGTCAGTTATAGCTTAAGTTCCCCCTTCTTGACTAGATTTAAGATGATGCAACCTAAAATAGTTCTCGGTCCTACCATGCCTGTATTGCCTATAGAAATTATTTTTTTTATATTAATTTAATATGTTGTTGTCAAAGCATTTTGGATTGGTTCGTACCAAAGACGATGTGAACGCAATCTAGCAATAATTTTGCAGTAGATATAATTATCAACATAATAATAAACTTTAAGGAATATTCCATGGATTGCTACTTCAGACAGTATTGGAGAGATGAACGTTTATCTTTTATGGGACCCATAAAATCATTGTCGCTGTCAATAAAAATGTTGGAAAGAATATGGAGACCCGATACATACTTTTATAATGGAAAAAATTCCTATGTTCATACTATTACGGTACCAAACAAACTACTTAGGATCAGTCAACATGGAGACATTCTTTATTCGATGAGGTTTGCTTATTACTCGAAAGACTAAACGCCTTTTATAAACGGAAAGTTTAGGATTCACGGTTCTGCCCTGGTGGATCCACATTTTTAGTAGTTTTCTTTTCCTTTTAGACAAATGCTGGGTTAGTGATATTCCATAGATAATCATTCACTTCTCTTCGGTCTTTACTTTATCCTGTTTCTACCCAACCAATACCCACCAATACCCATAATACAGTAATATTCGTGGGTTTAACAAAATTAACTTCCAAGACTGATAACGGCAAAACTCTACTTTACTCTAATTATTAAAGAACTTAAAAACACTATTAAATGTTACTAAACTTAGGTAATGAATTATTCTATTTATTTACACTAATGTTGATATATCACTATTCACTGCCCTATTTATTTCACCGCTATCACGGTCAATTTATTTCTGGATTCACTTCTGGAACGGTTAATTTATTTCTACTCTACTCGCGGCGATCGTCTCTTCCTTTAAATACTCTTTTGTTTCCTTTCTGGAACCCTCTAGAAACATCCGGATCGTTTTGTTTTTCTTTGAACTGTTTAACTGCCTTCCCAGAACGCAGGTACGACACACACATTTACAAATACGGCGCACATGAAGAAAGGTGTTCGCGGCTAGTCGGCGAATCGATAAGCCGTCCACGCACACGTATGCCCGATCGCACACAAACACGCTCGTGCTCGCTACAGTACCTATAAGAAGCTGAAGTGGACCTTCCTACCTACCCTTCGTCTTTGCATTAAAATATAGGTCGAAGAAACTGAATGCCCACCAGCATCATCAGCTGCTTTGTTTTCACTTTTTTTTAGCAGCATTGGTTCTTCAGCATTCTTCTGCTATTGATGGATAATCTGAAACAGAAAAACACGCTTGCTGCTTCAAATTAATAATGAGTCTACGAAGCACCTTAAGAACTTAAATAAAAAGTTATTCTTTCAAAGTAACCAATATGAATCAAAACATCCCCAACTTTTAGGACAACTTACAATTAGACTAAATGAACCTTTAGAAGTGATAAATGCAGTTCAAACATAAAAAATAAACAAAAAACTTCACTAATAAACATGTTTTATGTTTCACGAAAGACCAGCAGAAATTGTTTAATTAGTAAAATTTTACGTTTTCATAATTCTATTTGGAAGTTTTTTACTTCTAATACTGCTACTCTCTGCTTGGAACTATTTCATAAACTAAATACTTAACTTAGTAGAAAAAACCCACAAGATGCTCTAGAATAGCGTGATGAGTGCTCTTTACTTCTTTAATGAATAATAAAACCACCAAATTTTAAGCCATAAACATGTGGATGTTCCCTTCTAATGTTAGGGAATATTCTGTATAATCATAAAATAATAGTACCAAATAAATTTTTTTTATTATAATTCTATTATTGTTTGTTTGCTTTGGTGCCTATTTGCAGTCAACGTACTCGCAAAATGAAGAATACAATTTTATACTCAATTTTATGTTTTCATGAAACTGATTGTCATGTATTTTTTGCTTAATTTTATTGGTTTCTTTTAGTAATTGCAAATGGCAGTTTACAAAATTGTCACATCATTCTTTCGATGACGAATCGTAAATAAAACCGCACATATACACGAAATTCGCGAAAAAACCTAACGTCGTGTCCTAAGTAAACGCGAAATCTATGCTATCGAGTTATTCTTGCATATTAACGAAAGGTATTTTCAACCACCCGTAATTGAGCAGTAGATAGATAGCGCAGGATCGAGTCGCCTTCAATAAAAAGAAGTCACTTCTATGTTTAATTTATAAATTTGAAAAAGATTGAAACATGGACGGTGGGCACGGCGAAAAAGAACAGGTTGGAAACGTTCGAAATGTAGTGTTACAGGCGAATGATGATAGAGAAGAATAGAAATGAGTTATTAGAAAGAGTAGGAGAACAGAAGACTTTATAGAAGTCAATAACAAATAGGCGAGATAGGTTTATAAGACACCTTCTTAGGAATAAAGGGCTAGTTAAGGACATATTAGAAGCAGAAACAGGAATTAAGAGGAGTAGATGTAGAGGTAGATTAGATTACTGTTCACAAATAGTTAAGGATGTGGGATGTTCTAGTTTTAGAAAAACGAGAATAGTAGCTCAGGATAGGAAAGAGTGGAGGTGCATGTCCAACCGGTCTTAGGATTGACGACCTTGTGATGATGATGATGATGTACCTACGGTTATATATTATTATGAAATTCTCCAATATGCAGTCTGTCTGTATAAATTCCATGTTTAGTTTTCCTTTTCTTATTATTTTTCTTTAAAATTTTTACTAAGTATTACCAACTAAGCATGATTTGCTTCCTCTGATCAGTCAATAAATAATGAGTTCACCAAACGTAGGCAAACGCGCCGTTGTAAGAACACTAGTAAAATAACTAGCGTTTATACGCTAGTGTTCAAACTCACGGTATACGCTCTATGTAAAACAGACCTTATTTTTCACAAGCAGAATTTTGAAATAGTCTCTAATAAAATTTAAATATACATATGTACAACAAAACTACTAATTTCATGAAATATCTTTCAGTATCCTTCAGTGTTTACAAATTACCTAAACAAGAAAAAGAGTTATTTGTGACACCCATTTTAATTTTCAATTTTATTAAGTACACAATAGGTAATTGAACTAAAAAATCGTTGCTTATTATATATAAGTATATATGTTTAAAATCAACATATATGTATACTATTTTACAATGAATAAATGAGGTATACCGCATCAAATCGTCCCCTCATTTATTCGACTCTCTCTAAATTGTTCAGTGCCTGTGTGTTTTGTTTAACGGTATAATGAATACTTATTGAGTCGCTGGTCCAAATGCCATATGATGACTTTATTGTTTTAAGAATTTGCTTTCTAGAATCAAAGCAATATGAAGATTTTACAAGGAAAAAAATAATCTCCAAAAGTGGGCTTTTCCCATAATATTCTGCAAAAATTTCTATATAGTTACAGTAAAAATCAGTAACAACTTTTTANAGCAAAGACCAAAAATTTTATGAGCGTGGAATTATGCTACTACCAGAAAGATGGCAAAAGGTGTTGGACCAGAACGGTCAATATATAATTTAATAAAGTATTTGTTTATTATACGAAAACTGTCTTTCATTTCCACAAAAAAAAACGAAATGACTCCGAACAATCCAATATATTATTTTAACGGCAAAGTATATCAGTACATAGAAGAACGCAGTGTCTTCTGTTTTTGTTTTTTTTTTTACATAGCATAGTTTTTAATCTATACATCGAAAAAGGGATCAACATCGTTAAAGACAGTACAACTCTAGGGATAGATATGGAGGGGCAAAAGATTAGTATGGTTAGATTTGCAGATGATTTAGCAGTATTAACATCTCACAAGGATGAGTTAGAGATAGCTTTAAATAAAATGGAAGCGGTATTGACAAAACAGTACTGTATGAAAATAAATAAAAGTAAAATAAAAATACTGGTACGCAAGGAAAGAAAAAGTAGGAAAAGAGCAAATATAAAGACGAATAAATTAGAAGAAGTGACCGATTTTAGGTATCTAGGAAATCAAATAAGTCAGGACGGAAGGAGTAGTAGCGATATAAAGCAGAAGATAAAGCGGCGTCAAGTCGCCTTCAATAAAAAGAAGTCACTTCTATGCTCGCGAACGGTTAATTTAGAAATTCGAAAAAGGTTGTTAAAGGTGTACGTTTGGACCACGGCGCCGCTGTACGGGCGCGAAACATGGACAGGTTAGAAGCGTTCGAAGTGTGATGTTACAAGAGAACGATGAGAATACCGTGGATAGAGACGATTAGAAATGAAGAGGTATTAAAAAAAAATAGGAGAACAGAGGACTCTATGGAAGTCAATAAAAAATAGGAGAGATAGGTTAGTAGAATACCTTCTCAGACATGAAGGTCTAGTCAGAGACATATTAGAGGCAGAAACGGTAGTTAGGAGGGGTAGATTAAATTACTGTTCGCAAATAGTTAAGGATATGGGTTGTTCTAGTTTTAGGGATATGCGAAGTTTAGCTCAGGATAGGAAAGAGTTGAGGTGCGTGTCCAACCACTCTTAGGACTGAAGACCTTCTAATAATGATGATGATCGTAGTTTATCTTTAACTCGCTTTGAAAAATTTGCAAAAATCGTAAATAAAACAACAAATCTCTCCAAGGAATCAAAATACATAAAAATCATTACTTTATCAGATCTATTCTTCAAAATATCGTATAGTAAAACGGAATGAATAAATCTGTATATTTTCTTAATTTCGAGAAGTAGGTGAACCCTCATACTACGAGACAGAACACCTAAGTAACTATCGCTAAAATCGAAAAAATGAGGTCTAAATATGATCATATATCCCCTACTGTTAAATACCCAAGTTGTTTTTTACAGATTAACAATTAAAGCCAAATGCCCAATGGAATTACGAAATTTCCCAATGGATAGACAATCCTGCCCGTTGATTTTAGGGAGTTGTGAGTGAAATATAGGTTAATTTAATTATTTTTTGAGCAAATTATTTTAAGTAATCGTTTACTTTAGATGCATATACAGCACAGCAGTTGGTATACCAATGGCAAGGTGAAAACAGCGTTGATTTTGTGCCCGGAATGACACTTTCACAATTTGATCTGATGAGCTTTCCATCCAGAAATTTTACTTTTACTCGGCGAGAAGGTTAGACTTTCATATTTCTGGCATAGACGTTCATGCACTTTGCTACCCTATAATTCATAAAATAATACGATTTATGAAAATGAAATTCAGCTTCATAGAACATAAATTTGCCAACTTTAAAGGCATAGCAGATAAAGGGTCAAATTTTAATACAGTTTGTGAACATTTTATAAATTCTGGAGACGCATTAGCTCTATATTATGGCCAGATGCGTTATTTATAAATAATATTTTTTAATATATTTACACAAAATACTTTACTCTCTTGAATTAAATCAGCAGAATTTGTACTGATTTTTTTCAGTAATTCGGATAGCAAATGACAAAACAGTAATTTTTGACTGTTTTATATCACTTTACTGAAAATCAGTGATTCTTCACTGTCGTATATGGAGATACGTACTAATGTTTTCAGTAAATTTAAAAGTTACATTCGTATAAAAGAGATACTTGCTCGCAGCATATTGTTTGTGATAACCAACAAAAAGCATCACGTTTATGTTAACCGGTAGGTAGGTACGAGTGTTCAAATAACAAATTATTTCACAATTTATAATAAACATTATTATGCAATTATATACTTGAATTTATTTGATNCTACTGCGTAGAATTAATTGGAATTTTTCACACACAAGCCTTGCTATATGAGCTCTCAAAGCATATCAAAATTATAGGGCTTAAATGTGAAGTTGGGTGCAACAGAATACAATTAAATCCTCTGTCGGGAAAAAACGAAATGACTTTCCGAACAACCCTATAGCATGTGAAAAGTTCAAAACTCAAATGGTATATTTAATCTAACATTTTATATTTTCAATTTGTTTTTTGTTTCTTTGAATCATCCAAAAGCTCTACCTTTTAGGTGAATTTTCAGTACTCCAGGTGTCTTTTAATCTCCAAAGACATGCAGGTTACTTTCTAATTCAAGTGTACGTACCTTGTATTTTGATAGTTGTTCTATCTTGGGTTTCGTTTTGGATTCATCGAGAAGCCACAAGCGACCGCGTTGGCTTGGGGATCACTACAGTGCTAACATTGTCCACAATTAGCTTGGATTCCAGAAACGATCTACCAAAGGTAAATTAACTCATCACACTAATATTTAAGGCCAATGATTTATTTACATCGAAAAATAATATAGTGAATGTAAATGTAAGCGTACAAGAGAGAATTATTTGCATTTCATTCATTCAGGGATCCCGCTACAAAGACGGGACTTCCCCCAGCATATTGGACGCGTCAGCAAAGTTAAAAGAATATTAGTACCGCGTAAAAAGTCCAGATGGTTGTAGTGTTTTGATCTTGATGAAATTATGAAGGTACCAAGCACATTTTAAAGTCCTGTTTAGGATTTGACCAAGGGAACGTGGAGGCATTTGTGGGCCCCCCAAGACCAGAGGTCCGGGGCGGGACGCCCCTTCCGCCCCCTGTTGGTCCGCGACACTTACTTAATTTGTATTAAACATAGAAGCTAATTTACTGATTTATTCAGTATAACAGTTACTGTCCCTTTCAGTACTTTTAAAAATTACTAATTGACTCATGTAAAATTAGGATTAATTACGAATTCAATAAACCACTTTAACTTACGCGGGTCATCGCATAGCAGCCCGAAACGGCATATAGCAGGCAGACACATCGCAAAAACATGAAACAAATACGAAGTTACTGTTTTGCATAAAGAAGAGGGGGAAATGCATCCCCCATGCAGACCTTTAATAAAAAGCCCATCTTTCCATATCAGATATATATATTTAACAAACCATAATCTTCAGAAATGTACATTTCCACCTGAAACGAGTAGAGGCTCCCCTGGACGCCCGACTATCGCGCTAGTAGTCAGCATCCCAATGATTTGGTGTGAGAACACCAAATCATGTCAACCGGGCGCATGTAGGGCCCCTCACCTACATGTCTCTGCTCCGAAGGAACCACATCCCCAGAGAGGACGGGATTTGCGCGCCGGGGGCTTGCACCACATAGATGCAAAAAGTACCACACAGGTAAAACAACATAATCGCATCACACAGATGCATAAATTACCACACAGGTAAAACAAGGCAATTGCACCACACAGGTGCTAAATAGAAGTGTACACTTAAAGCATATGCAAAACAGTTCTGCACACAGGCCTGGCCAAAACAATACTGACTCAAAATAAGACAAAATATATCCGTGCCTGCCCGGCTACTCACCTTCATGAAAAAAGGTCATATTTCAAATCATAACACCGACAAACGGATAAAGATATATTAGATAAAATAAAATTACAATTCCACCGGCACATTTTCGTCGCAGCTTCTTACCATCGGCAGTGGGAGCTTTTAGGATTAAAACTAAATCGTCAATCTTATATTCTTTAGGAGGTTTTCGATGTTTATCAAAGCGTTCTTTCTGAGCTTTTTGATTTATTTCAATTCGTTCATTTGCTTCGCGTCTAATTTTATCAATATCCTCAACGAAATTAAGGAAATCCAATTCTGCGGAGATAATACTATAGCACTTTCGTCGTGGTGTATAGCCCATAAGTAGTTGGTGAGGCGTTTTTCGGGTGATTTGGTGTATCGTATTATTAACAGCGTTCTGCACATCAGCAACCACGTTATCCCAAGAATCTTCAGTTGTACAAGTGGTTGTAAGGGCNCTTGAACAGCATTTTTACCCTTTCTGTAGTAAAACAGTAAGATATGTCGAAAATGCTGCTTATCGCTCTCCATATTTAAAAGGGCACCAACCAAAAACTACTGCGTAGAATTAATTGGAATTTTTCACACACAAGCCTTGCTATATGAGCTCTCAAAGCATATCAAAATTATAGGGCTTAAATGTGAAGTTGGGTGCAACAGAATACAATTAAATCCTCTGTCGGGAAAAAACGAAATGACTTTCCGAACAACCCTATAGCATGTGAAAAGTTCAAAACTCAAATGGTATATTTAATCTAACATTTTATATTTTCAATTTGTTTTTTGTTTCTTTGAATCATCCAAAAGCTCTACCTTTTAGGTGAATTTTCAGTACTCCAGGTGTCTTTTAATCTCCAAAGACATGCAGGTTACTTTCTAATTCAAGTGTACGTACCTTGTATTTTGATAGTTGTTCTATCTTGGGTTTCGTTTTGGATTCATCGAGAAGCCACAAGCGACCGCGTTGGCTTGGGGATCACTACAGTGCTAACATTGTCCACAATTAGCTTGGATTCCAGAAACGATCTACCAAAGGTAAATTAACTCATCACACTAATATTTATATTAAAAAAATAGTTTTACATTCTTAAATGAAATCCTTCCTTGGTGGTTGTTCGTGGTGGTTTAGGTTCGTACAAAATTTCAATAAGAATAAGTTTAAGACAATAAGGATTACACTGTTAAAAATTTCCGAGGTAAATGTACAAAACATATGTTGGAAGTTTTATTCTTATACACTTTACAAATTTTCCAATATGTATTGTAAATAAAAAAGTAGAGGTTTAAGATTTTTCCAACATGGTGTCGGAATTTCCAACTCAAAAATTACTATACTATATCACTNGGTGTGTACAAGTTATAACTTGTTCAATCATGCATTAGCGAAGATTGTCAAAAAAAAATATTTAATACATAATAAATAATAGACCATGTCGGATTACAGGGGGTGCCGGATTAGCCAGGGGCCGGATTATCGTGGGTCCACTGTAAATGTATTTCTTAGTGAAGCGCAACAAATACGCGACTATTAAGCCGGGCAATTCAAGCGAATGCTGTTATAGTTCAGCGACTGTAGCGCTACATTTTTGAAGCGCTGCTCATGTGTGAAGGCATCAATTTAAAAGTAGATTTTAAAAAATCGCACAAATGCAGCGCTTCAGAAGCGCTAAAAAATGTAGCCCGTGTGAAAAGGCTCTTAGTCTCATTGCTGCCGGCGCCTCGAAAAACTTACATTGCTGGCCGCGTCCTCATTCAGGAGATAATATTGAACATATGATTTAGGAAAATGGTGCGATGCCGCTCTCCTTAACAATTCCGCATATCTCCAATTAGATCATTTGCCACTGTAACTGCATATTGCGGATGTGTTTGGAGATTTTTCTATAATATAAAACCATCCTTCTTCTACGAACGGCATTGGTAAATATGCTCATGCTGCAGTCATTTTTACACGGTTTCTCTTAATTCTTGGTATGTCCGGTATGTAGATAATAATCTCAATTCTTGGATTTTCGCCATAAGCACTGTTTGAAATGAAAGTTACAGCCTTTTAAAAATGTATGAGGCAATACTTCTTTGCAGGCCAAAATTGTAGATAGTTCAAAATTAATTTTCAAATATTTTGGATTAAACGTTAGAACTGTACTTTTTATCAATTCAAACAGTCTCTTGTACGATATTTTTTCTTTTTGCTAATGATGCATATGTAACCGGACGCACATTCGTGTAATTTTCTGTGCTTTAAAGATCGACGTGAAGAGGGTAAAGTTGATCGAAAAGATTAGAACAATTTTTTAATGTTCTGTCTCCAAATATCGAATCTGTCACAGTTTACACCGCTAGTCCTTTTTTACTTCCTAGTCCAATGATCCATCCGTTGTTTACGTAATTATGAATTCAAATTAATTATGAGGGTAATAAAGTTGGCGGACAGCAATGTCACTGTTTCAGGTATATTTTTGAGGGCGGCAATGGGACATCCCCCGTTTGTAGTAAATCAACAAGATGTATTGGATAAATACAAATTTTTATTGGCAAAATAGTCAAAGTATTTCAAATTTACTATTTTTTTTTTCAATGTGCGAGTAGAACTCGAACCTTTAACAGAGTACCATTATAGGGTGCTAAAGGTTCAAAATTAATATGTTTTTTCGACAACAATCGATCATAAAAATTGTCGTTAGCCATTCCCTTCCAAAGACTACCTCTAAGTAGGGTTGTCAACAGTCCTCCATTTGGGATCTGGTTTCCTCTGTCCTATTGTGACCCTCTACAGGACCCAAAATGTCTTGAACATTATCAAAAAGCAAGCATTAGCAATCATTAAACACTTACAATTGCGCTTAAAACTGCACAAATCTTTTATTATACTTTATTAATAAAAATACATATCAAAACAAAGAGTTCATAGTAGTCAGAGCATAGTCGTACATCCCTCTCCTGGCGACGCTTCACCACCTCATCCCCAAGTTCGACATTCTTCGACAATTTACAGCTTTCCACACGAGCTACATTATGTAGCGCTTCCGTTGCGCTACAGTAACACGACAGTTGCTAATTTACATGTATAAAAAGCGATTTTTTGCAGCGCTTCGATATTCTAGCCGGTAGTAACGAACCTATTTCAAATTTAAAGAAACAGTTATTAAAGTGAAGTCGAAGAAGAAGGACGAAGAGGAGCTTACTTTATTAGCGCTTCTGATAAATTAAAAAAAAAAAAGAAGAAGAATATAAAGAATCGGAAAGGGTCGATCCTTACAACAGCAATCGATTGATAAAAAGACTTCTATACATCTTTCTAAGATTTACGCCGAAATAAAAGTTTTTTAGTCATTCCTTCTTTCGATGTTCTTTCTTATATAGCCTGCACTGCAACTATTCCAAATGCAATCTTTGAAATTATGAAATTTTCAACGTCGACATTGTGCATCATTGGTCTGTCGCACTACTAAAAATATGCCAGTGTGGAAGGGTTATTTAAGTACAGTGGACCCCCGGTAATCCGACAAACAGTTTGCAGGGCAGTGTCGGATTAGCGAATTTGTTGTATTATAGAGTACTGCCTAAGACTTACGAATTAAGCGGTCTAAAATATCACATTTTTCTTTAATTGTCAGTATTTTGTGCTTTCGCTTCTGAGCTTGTGACGACATTACTAGGTACGAATACCTAATACACAATGAATAAACACTAAACAATGAACACACGCTAGACCGCACCGCTATCTTCATCACATATAGTCAAATTCAAATTAAGCAATCAGAATCAAAACAATACTCTACGCATCGAGCACAATAGTGGTGGTGTGTACAAGTTATAACTTGTTCAATCATGCATTAGCGAAGATTGTCAAAAAAAAATATTTAATACATAATAAATAATAGACCATGTCGGATTACAGGGGGTGCCGGATTAGCCAGGGGCCGGATTATCGTGGGTCCACTGTAAATGTATTTCTTAGTGAAGCGCAACAAATACGCGACTATTAAGCCGGGCAATTCAAGCGAATGCTGTTATAGTTCAGCGACTGTAGCGCTACATTTTTGAAGCGCTGCTCATGTGTGAAGGCATCAATTTAAAAGTAGATTTTAAAAAATCGCACAAATGCAGCGCTTCAGAAGCGCTAAAAAATGTAGCCCGTGTGAAAAGGCTCTTAGTCTCATTGCTGCCGGCGCCTCGAAAAACTTACATTGCTGGCCGCGTCCTCATTCAGGAGATAATATTGAACATATGATTTAGGAAAATGGTGCGATGCCGCTCTCCTTAACAATTCCGCATATCTCCAATTAGATCATTTGCCACTGTAACTGCATATTGCGGATGTGTTTGGAGATTTTTCTATAATATAAAACCATCCTTCTTCTACGAACGGCATTGGTAAATATGCTCATGCTGCAGTCATTTTTACACGGTTTCTCTTAATTCTTGGTATGTCCGGTATGTAGATAATAATCTCAATTCTTGGATTTTCGCCATAAGCACTGTTTGAAATGAAAGTTACAGCCTTTTAAAAATGTATGAGGCAATACTTCTTTGCAGGCCAAAATTGTAGATAGTTCAAAATTAATTTTCAAATATTTTGGATTAAACGTTAGAACTGTACTTTTTATCAATTCAAAGTCTCTTGTACGATATTTTTTCTTTTTGCTAATGATGCATATGTAACCGGACGCACATTCGTGTAATTTTCTGTGCTTTAAAGATCGACGTGAAGAGGGTAAAGTTGATCGAAAAGATTAGAACAATTTTTTAATGTTCTGTCTCCAAATATCGAATCTGTCACAGTTTACACCGCTAGTCCTTTTTTACTTCCTAGTCCAATGATCCATCCGTTGTTTACGTAATTATGAATTCAAATTAATTATGAGGGTAATAAAGTTGGCGGACAGCAATGTCACTGTTTCAGGTATATTTTTGAGGGCGGCAATGGGACATCCCCCGTTCGACACTACACCTGTCTCTTTTGGGTCACAAGGAAGAAGAACGAAAGTAGATTTATATACTTCTCTCACTTAGCCTTGCAGAAGCACCTACGAGAGAGGTTAAGTCTGGTTCTGTACCAAATCCCATTAGCGCGTCGTAGACAATTTCCACCTAATAAAGTCCCTGTAACTGCTCCCTTAAGACAGCATTTTCTGAATTACTACAAATAATGTGGTAGACCCCATCTGTAATATATTGCTACATTTAGTGCTACATTTAGGTCCATAATAGGATATCGACTCCAGGCAATATACTACAGATGGCGTTTACCGCACTATTTGTAGTAATTCATAAAACGCTGTCTTAAGGCAGCATGTAGAATTGTTCTGCATCGTATCTACAACGTGCTTTTGATTTCAAATAAAATTGAAATCTGCATCCACGTATGATTGTTTCGTCAGAAAATTTGACCCAGTTTTTTTGTTCTATTTAGTTACAATGCGCCTACCACGTTGGATTTAAGTGTACGCGTTGGATAATTCCGTTCGATTTGATACCGTTAATGGATTGTTGAATATTTTTGAATTCCACTAAATGCAGTAATATACTACGAACAAGCGTGGTAAATGAATAGACATTTATTTATTTATCCTAAATTTATCTCTGATATCCTACACGTATGGGCTGAGCGGGCTATAGCCCAGAGCGGCAAAATTGTGGAGGTGGTAAATATCCCTTCACTTTAATGTAAAAAAATAACAGTAATAAATGCAGAATATGTCTTAACTCGATTTTTAAGTCGAATTGCGTTTTTCTTTAAACGCAATGACTTCTGCCATCTATTGTCAAACTTAATCAAACAATTAACGAAAAAAACGTCGAAAATGTACATTCGCATATTAATATCGCATTGCAAATATTTTAATATATGCATCTAACTGCAAGGCGAAGAGACAATTTTGGGTACTTAAATCAAAATAAAAAACTACCTCCAAATTCGTTAACTGTGCTTTCAATAGAAAACAATCTGACGAGAACTTTTTGATTGACTTTCTGCAACAGTTCTGTTATTTTCTATAACGAATATTGTATATGGTAAGAATGTAAAGTAATGCTGATGGTAGGAGAGGCCAAATGTAATTAACTCGGAGCGGCATTGAAAATACGCCACTCGTCCTGCATTTTTATCCTCCTTGTCCAAAAAATCTAAATATTAAAGTTGGCAATCCTAAGTCAGATAATCAGCAAAGCAGAAACGAGAAATCAGTTATATATCGCACGACTTTCATTTAAAGCATTCGTTTGTTTAAAAGAATATTTGGAGACACCAGGTATTATTTATCGATTAGGATCTTTGACTATTTAAGGTTCGTTACGCTACCGCATTAGACTGGTTTCTGTTAATGAGCTTCTTTTACTGCGTCGCGACGCTATTAGAATTCGCAGGAGTGCATTATTTTACTAAAGTGGGCAGCGGGGAAATCCCCATCGATGAAGATGAATGGGAAGATTGCGAGACCGAAGAGACAATAGGTGTAAATGCCGTCGACACCGTTGTAGAAAACTCCATTGGTGTAGGATACAGAATTGGAAGACGAAGAAGTTCAATGATTTGTCCTATTTATAACGTGAGTATCTGCTGGTTTGACAATAAAACCAAACTAACCCATCCGAAATTAAGGTAATTGTATAACTTTGACTCACAGATTGTTTTATTCTCAGAATATTCGAAATTAAGAGAGTGTTCCTGGCTCAAATTTCTGACAATATCACTGAAAATGTTTGATATAAAAATTAAAAATGATTACCTGTTTTTTACAACATTTTATATAAAACCCATTATAAAAATTTGCTTCGTAGTGATTTTTTATCGAGGTATAGAAACCTTAAAACGAAAATTTTGATATGGTTGCCAGTTCCTTGTGTAGCTTTTGCAAAAAAATTTCTACATGAACAAAATATCTGATTGTCGTAGGATGCAACTCTTAATAATTATAATAACCGAAGAACTTCCTTCACATCACACTCCCGGTCTCTTCCACCGGTCAAACTGACGATGGAAAAAACGACCCAAACCGAATTTCGTCTTCCAAAATGGAGACAATTCCTTTATTGCCTTATGGGGAACGACGATTTCAGAAGGCAACGACAACGAGAAGCAGCAGCATTGGGTAAAGGTTAAAATACAAAAAAGATAAATGCAAGGCTACAGATAAACCCGGACATTCAATCAGCCGATAACAGAATATCTTCTAGAATAAATTTATTTTAAAAATCATAAAACAGATGAAACCATAAAAAATGTACTCAAAATGTAGATATAAATAAGAACATGGATCTTTCGACTTATTAACAAATAATTTTTTCGAAATACAGAATATACGTAAGAAAGCAAGCGAAAGTAAATTAATTTAAAGGACTAGATTATACTATGCTATTGAAAAATAATACAATAATCAGCCCTTCCGGCTAATTTAGTAATTTTTTTCTCGTCGTAGCATCACAAACGCTTTTTCATGTACAACTATTTTTATTTACGAGCGCTTTTTCGTGTAGGGATTTCTTAATTAAGTACTTCATAAAATAGAGCCTCAATATGGAGTCGTGTCGATAGTTCGTTGGCTTCCCTAAAGTCTACATACATTCTAAGGTAATAATCACCTCTTTTGATTAATTCAGATATTTTCATTATTTTAATCAGTCACAGCATAATAGTACACTTATTTGAAAACACACTCACAATATCTTGGTACCAATAAATTCTACTTACTTTTTTGTATATGTAATAATAATCCCTTGTGATTAAGTTTACCTTCTCACAATTTTACGAGCCCTTCTTCGTTACTTTTAAAAGTTATGACTCCGTAGAACCTCTATTTGAAATCGCATCAAAAGTCCACTAGCGCCATTAAATTCTATGTGTTTTCTAATATTTTATTCACACATTTTGCCCGATTAAATAATTTACTTTTCGTCGTAATACGAGGGTGGATTGATAAGTTTCCGGCCTGACCAAGAAAAACAAGGTTTTAAAAATTTTTTTTTTTTATTTCTCAACATAATCTCCTCCAAGGCTGATACATTTCTCATAGCGGTGTTCCAGTCTATTAATGCCATCTCTATAGACTGATTCGTCAAGCTCCTCAAAATAACCATTTACAGCTTCGATTACTTCTTCATTGTCCACAAATCTCTTACCGCCAAGCCATTTTTTGAGATTAGGGAACAGAAAATAGTCACTCGGGGCTAGGTCTGGAGAGTAAGGAGGGTGCGGCATCAATTCAAACTTTAGATCGTTGATTTTAGCCGTCGCAACGATTGACGTGTGCGCTGGTGCGTTATCGTGATGAAACAAGATTTTTTTCTTCGCCAGATGAGGTCGTTTAATTTTCACCTCGTGGCTCAAACGTTGCAATAAGTCTGCGTAGTATTGACCAGTGATAGTATTACCCTTTGCAAGGTAATCAATGTATATAATACCTCTTGCATCCCAAAAAACAGTAGCCATAACCTTGTTCGCCGAAAAAATTGTTTTTGCCTTCTTTGGAGTTGGTTCCCCTGGTCCAATCCACTGTTTAGACTGTTCTTTGGTTTCAGGAGTGTAGTGGTGGACCCACGTTTCGTCAACGGTTACGAATCGACGCAAAAATTCGCTTGGATTACGCTTATACAATGACAAATTTGCGGTAGAAATGTTTTTTCGAATCAATTTTTGGTCGACTGTTAGCAAACGCGGCACCCATCTTGCACAGAGCTTTTCCATATGCAAATGTTGGTGCAAAATATGTTGCACACGTTCATATGACATCTTACAGGTCTCAGCTATCTCACGCACTTTCAATCTGCGGTCTCCCAGCACTATTTGATGAATTTTTTCGATCATATCTGGAGTTGTGACCTCAACGGGGCGTCCTGAGCGAGGCCCATCAGAGGTGCTCACACGACCCTTTTTAAACTCGGAAACCCACTGCTTAACGGTTGAATATGACGGGGAGGATGTCCCCAGTGTTGAGTCCATCTCTTTTTTAATTTCCTTCGGCGTTAACCCCTTCAAATAAAAGTATTTGATGACAGCACGATTTTCCTGCTTTTCCATTTTTACGAAAACCACAGAGGCGTCTTGTTCAGCGTGCTGTCAAACCTACACTAGCAAGGAGATCGGGCTGAAACTATAGCTACAAGCTATCCAAGGATGGTACTATAGAATGTCACCTCAAGGTAGGCCTAGTGGCGTCATCTCTTGGTTAGGCCGGAAACTTATCAATCCACCCTCGTATAAGGAGCGATTTTTCGTATCCGGCTATTTTTATTATTTTAGCCAATTACAACACAATAGGACATTTATTTGAAATCATACTCAAAATCGCTTGGCACCACTAAATTCTACGTACTTTTTGTACAGTAATCATCTCTTTTGGTTAAGTCACTGGCATTTATTTCCTCGTAATTACGAGCGCTTTTTCTTGGTCGGATTTTTTTATTAGTTTAAAATGTTGTGACTGAGTAGAATCTCTATTTGAAATCGCACCAAAAATCTGTTAACACCATTAAATTCTGCATGTTTTCTAATACATATTGCAATCACACATTTTGACCAATTTAATAATTTTCGTCACGTTTTTTCGTGTCCGGTTATTAAAACACAGTAGAGCCTTTATTTGAAAACACACCAAAAGTCTACATAGTTTAGAAAGTTTATGACTTCGTAATAGAGGCTTTACCACTTGTAATCTCACCAAGATTCATTAGCAACTCTAAATTCTACATACTTTCTAAGAAAATAATCATCCCTTTTGACTAATTCAGTAATTTTTATATCACGAGAGCTTATTCCACTAGGGATATTTTCATTATTTTGGGTAAGAGTCGAGTCATTATTTGGAAAAACACCCAGTCTCTTTTGACACCACTAATTCTACGTACTTCCTAACATAATAATCATCTCTTTTACCTAAATATTAAGTTAGCCTAATATGACGTAAAATTTAGAACCGAAAACGTTCAAATCACATAATCGACACGCTTTGCTTATGCAACGTTTATGCGACATTCTTATATGATGCAGAAATAAAATAGAACACTTGGTATTGACAATACTCCTACATTTTTTATTTTTCTTAATACTTGTATCGTTGCATCTTCTGATTTAATGATATGAATAATATCTACTGTTTTGTCCAAATCCACAATTGTTAATCGATAAACATGAGTGCTAAATTAATTTTCCAAGAAAATTTCACTTCCTGTTTGAGGAGTGATGCAAAATACCATGCATATCAAGAGTTCAAACGCACATACAATCTGAGAGAGTTGAATTATGTGAAATCACATACTAACTTGTGGTTTTATACAGGGGCGGCCTTAGCTACTGTGAAGCTCCGAACGGATAGATCATTGCGAGACCCTTTGCCTTTGTGGAATCAGTTTTAATGATGTTACTTGACGAGAAATGCAAAGCTATTAATAAATAAATTTAGAGTTTTAAAATTGTTTGTGGCTACGTAACCGGGGTTCTTACGCGAATGCGCAAGGCTCCGGTAAGTTGCCCTGCTCGTCACCTTCAAAGGCCGCCCTTAGTCTTACATTGTTATATGACCAACCCTTGGTTAATGCAAAAATATAATAGCCGTCTATATTCCTGATGATATGACTAATTCTTCTTATTGTGTAGTATTTACTAGATATAGTTAGAACGTTGAAAATTGGCATAGTCCGCAATAAAACTGTCACATTTACTACGTTTTTCATTCAACTTACTAACTACAGCAGAGTGATTGTTAACCGAACGCCTAGTTTTATTTACGACAGACATTGTAGGGAATATCGTATACATAAAAAAGAGATGTCGGTTAGGAATTGCAGCGAACACTAATAAAAATAAAGAAATAACATAACACCAACTGATGTGCAACAGATAGAGATGCAAATAAGCAGAATTTGAACATGTTACCAGCATCGGACTTTAAAGAAACTTCAACATTCTTCGACCCTAATTTTTGCGTACCTTTAACCGCTGCAAAGCTTACTGTTATCAGTTATCTCTTTTCTTTTTGTCTGTACTATGCAGCAAATGACTACAGTACCAAGTGGAAATCAGAAAGAAGATACATATTCTCACAGATAATTTATTGCGAGCTATGTCAATTTTGAACGTTCCAAGTATATCAAGTTGTTAATGCGTAAATCGAAGAAATGTTGACGAAAATCATATTATTCGAATGCCCGGGTCTCTGTTATAATCTTGTATAAAAGTACATACATTTGATAATAAAGCGAGATAGCACACTCATACAATCAAAATTCTATATCCACAAATGAATTATGCAGTTTTAAATTGCAGGTTTTAAAGACCACAGGTATCGTCATGTTAACAGCGTTTCGTATATTGATAGAGCAGCAAGGGTTCTTTTCCCAACCTCTTTTGGACTTCTAAATCTTTGTTATTGGTTTGTATACGTTCAATTTCAAGAAAATTTCGAATGGAAGGATCCTCCAGCAAGTTATTACAGTCATTAATATCAAAAATAAGAGTACAATATATAAAGGGTACCAAATACTAATTAACAGATAAGACCATGAGGCAAGGTTACGATATTAATACAGATTGTTAATGAAATGTAAAGAAGCGAAAATTCAAAAGAAATTAAGTCTTATTATTACTATAACATAACTTAGATACAGTAAAAAGTAATNATGAATGGAGAATTTGTTGGAGGTTGTGATGTAATGCTACAAATGCATCAGTCTGGTGATCTCATTGAAGAATTTGAAAAAGTAGGTATCAAGAGTGCTCTTTTAACAAAACATGAGAAAGAACAAAAACAGAAAGAGGAAGCAGAAAAGGGCAAAACTGAAATGTAAAGAAGCGAAAATTCAAAAGAAATTAAGTCTTATTATTACTATAACATAACTTAGATACAGTAAAAAGTAATATTTAAGAAAAAGTATATTATTTTCTTAATTTAATTATCCATTGAAACCCTTCACAACACTGACAAAGAACTACAAAGTTTTTCGTAATACTATTTTAAAAAGCCCAACACAGTAATGTGGTAAAAACGTTTTAAACAAAACTGTTGCGTTTCGCTGGAAATTATTTAAAAAGTAATTGAAAATTGTTTGTTTAATTCTTATGCAATATCCACATATTTAAGGGTGCTTATAGTGTGATAAAAGAAAGTGTTTGAGTGGTAGTATATCGCATTTGAAACAGCAACTTTATATTCTGTCTACTATTGTTAGTAACTTGCTCTAATTAATATGATTGTATTTAAGTATTTTATTCAAAAAATGGTTTCCAAGTACAATATTAGTAGCAATCGATAACGATTTAGTAAATACTTATAGAGTACATTAGTCAAAATTATGTTCAACATATCCCTCTGTAATAAATTTATCTTCAATACAAACCACTTCATTTAAAAAACCCACACGGAAAGTGTCCCAGTTATCCTAAATAGCATATTTTGCACATTTACTGCTTCGTACGCCTAAAAAATAACTTGACCATATATATATAAAAGTTAATTCGGTTTTAGATAAAGCAGTAAGTTAATATAATACCAAATAGAATAAAAGTAAACTAAAATCGCATTTTAATATCTTTTTCTAATGTTATGTAAAAATTTGCAGAGAAGTACCAACATATTTTAATGTTTAATTTTAAAAGTAGATCTTAAGTGACATCACGATCGCACTTTCTGCGTGTAATAAAACTTGTTGATTACACCCTATATATAATACCGGCAATGAAAGTCGATAAGGAAGACTCGCTTAAAAATATGGTTGAAAACCAGGCTGAGCTAGAATTTTGCTTTCCTCAAAATATTTTTAATTCGGAATAATGCCAGTCCTAGAGAAATAAGCAAAGTTATTTAAAAGGCTGCATTCTAAAGTATGTCTTTCCCATAGTTTAATGTAAATTTAATGTAAATAAATACAGATATTAACAGTAAGTTGTCTGCCATGATAGATTGTAAGCGTCTGGTTTCAGTAAAACAAGTTGTTTTTATTATCGTATTTCGCGAGTTTTTCCCGTTCGATTTAGTTGTTTAATAGTAAAATAGACTGTACCGATTATTTAAGAATATAGTTTCGTTTACGATTTGAGCAAAAAATGTCCACATGCATCGTTTTGCAGTTTTAACGTTTACATTATTTCTCTCCAGACATTCGCCGTTTATGTACGATATGCATCCCTGAGTATAATGAACAAGAAATAATTTTTTACACATCAAGGAGGAAGAAGACATACTGTAATTTATAAGTTTTAGGTAAGGTAAACATAATGTTAAAAATATAGCTATTATGGTGGCATTATTTTGCAATGGGAGTGTCAATTTAAAGAAAAAAGAAGAAGTAAATTTCTTTGTTGTCACCCTGATGTTGACCTTGACTCCTGTAAAGTTGACAAGATAGTGTTTTAACCTCTTATTTACTTTTTATAATTTATCCCGTTTTTAAGTTTTTCTAAATGAAAGGATAACTTTTATTATATTAATTTTAACCTTTACAGTGCAATAACCTATTTTAGTGACAGAATGGTTGTTGATGTGCCCCATAGACCATTTTTTATCAAAATGCAACCAACAGGAATGTCACCTCGAGAACTCTCTGAATTTGATGATTTGGCTACATCTTTAGTGCTAGATCCACATTTAGGATTCACAACACACAAAATGAATATTAGATATAGACCTCCAAAAGCCAACATCACTGAACTTAAAAATATTGTTAAGGAGTTTATACGAACACAAAATTATGAAAAAGCCTACAAAAAACTTGCTAGTGGTGAATGGATGCCCAGGTTAAAATCTAAAAATCAACAAAAGAGATTAGAAGCTCATGTAAGTTGTTATATTATTTCCATATTAATTTTTGCAGTCTATCAATTTTAAATAATTTAAATACTACTTTCTTATGCAAAGACAATTACTTTTATTTATGCACTTACATTAAAAAATACTTCCTGTGATTATTTTATAAACATATATCATTTATGATTTTTCATTCATATATGAGTATTTTAAGTTGTTTATTTTAATAATAAAATACCTTAATATGAATGTTTTTGCTTAAAATGTCTTACACTAAACTTTAATTATTTCCTAATTATTTACCTATTAAACCTTGATTAATAAGAACTAGGTTATGTCCCTAATATATTTAAAATATTNTGTAAAAGTCCAAGTTGTATAAATAATGTCAGTCTTTCGTAAAAATGTCACCTTTTCCTTTGCAATTTTATTGCACATAAATTTTCTGTTAAACGAATAGATTTTGTTAAATCCGCTATAAATTCTTTATAAATGGCTATTCTTATTACTTTTTAGTTAATTAATGGTATACTTTTATTAAGTATTTTCTTTTTATACTTTTCAATTATTAACCAGTAACTTTAACAAACATTAAAATACGTTCTAAATATTTATTTTATTTTAAATACAATCACAAGAAACTGATCAGTAACATTACATTTAAAAAAAATTATAAAATTGTTGCCAATAAGTTTTCTGTATTTACCTACAGGTCTATCGTTATTTGAGAGTATTTGATAAAGAAAGCGGCTTCGTTATAGAACCCTGCTACAGATACTCTTTAGAAGGAAAAAAAGGGGCAAAAATATCAGCCACAAAAAAATGGTATAAAAACGACAAAATCGAATGTCTTGTTGGTTGCATTGCCGAATTAACGGAAGAAGAAGAAGGGATGCTTTTGAATCCGGGAAAAAATGACTTTTCTGTAATGTATAGCTGTCGTAAAAATTGTGCGCAACTATGGTTAGGACCAGCCGCCTTTATCAATCATGATTGTCGCGCAAACTGTAAATTCGTTGCTACAGGTAGAGATACCGCATGCGTGAAAGTTCTAAGAGACATCGAGATAGGAGAAGAAATCACCTGCTTTTATGGTGAAGACTTTTTTGGTGACAAAAATTGTTACTGCGAATGTGAAACTTGTGAAAGACGAAGTACTGGGGCATATGCGAAAGATAAAGAAGAAAAAGAAGAAAACGGTTATAGATTGCGCGAAACAGACAACAGGATTAATCGTATTAAAAAACAATCGGGAAAAAACGGTTTGGATCACTGTAATGGCCACATGCGCTCTTTGGAAAATTCAGCAAAAATCATAACTCCTTTGAGTTTCAAAGAAATGCGTCAGAAAGGGCTAACGAAATACGATGCGGAATTGTTAATAGCTCAGGGTTGTCAATTTTCAGACATTAACGAATTTCAACGGAAGGATAGAAACTCGATTTCAAGCTTGAACACGTCAAATTCAAGTACAGACATTTCCGAATTAAGTGCAAATTCCACGCGATCGAGCTTAACCCAAGACAATTTGGTTTCACATAGCTTGCAACAAAAATGTTCTGTGATAAATAATGTAAGTACTTCAGGCGAACTTAACTCGAGAGTGACGCGATTGCAGAAACGTAACGCTCGACAAACTAATCAGGAACTTAGTCCTAGAAACAGTTCGACCCGCTTTAACCTTCTGGATGACATGCAAAGTAATGCTAGTACCAGCACGGTTTATAGTGACCAAGAACACGTTTCTGATGGCGTAAATCAAAACAAAATGTTTAATGAAATACAGGAAGGTTCGAAAGTAGGAAATATCGACGACAGCGATTTAGGTATTACATTGCGAAATCACAAATGTTTACGGTCACAAAAAAACATAAAAAGCAAAGCTGAAACATCCCATAAAAATGATCTGCAAACTCGAAAGTCTTCGAGGAACAGCCATGTTACTTCGAGTTCTTCAATCCGTACTACAAGATCTTCAGCACGTCTATCAACCCGTAGCAATAGCAATGCTGTTTCAGAACACTCGGAAAGTGTAAAAAGTGATAACGGCAAAGACGTGTACGAGTTCGACGAGGATGACGTCAAAACAGATCTTGACAATATACGAAAGTTTAGCCGTAGAAAAAGTATTAGTGAAAAGGACGAGTTGAAGCCAACTACAGCGGACACTTTAAACAATAAGACTGAAGACAACAACACTACTGCCGTTAATGATAATAGCGAAAAAAGTAACGAGGACATTCGGAAAGAAGAAAGTGTTCCAAAAATACAAAACAATAATAAAAAAACCGAAGAGAACATAGTGCAGCAACCTATAAATTTAGAAAAAACGCCGGAAAAAAGTGGTCATTTAAAGTTGACTTTGCGAATGAAGCGTAGTCCTGTTTTGGACGAAGTTATCGAGTCGGGAAACAGCCTGAGTGAGGACTGTTTTGAACCCGAATACGAGGTGCTGCGTGTAGAAGGAATGGAAAATCCTTTAACAAAGTATTCCCATAGGAAAAAAAGGCACAAGTGTAAAGAACACAAACGAGAAAAACGAATCAAGGGGAACGAAGGCTCCCTGCAGCCTCCAATGAAACGCTTAAAGTTGATTTTTGGAAATGAAAGTCATACTATAGATATCCCGTCCATCCCTAATGACTAGTAAATTATGCAGGATATAAATATAATAGATAATATTAAATTTGAAATGGATTGAGGAATCTGGTATTTATAAATTAACAATTTTATTCTGTTTATGCTTGAAATACCAATAATTTATCACTTTCTTAAGCAGGCTTACATTTTCTTAGAACGTGAAGATATTAGACTAATTAGTACTATTTATTTAAAACAAAAACTACACTACTTATAGGTATTCAGAAATTAAGAAATGAAGGGAGCGCATTCCTGTAAGTAATTTTTAAATTAAGTTTCAGCATAAATCTAAAAAAATTACCTTTTAATGAATATTAAAGACAAAAAATTTTTATGAAAAAGTACAGCATTTTAAAGGAATTAAATCAGTATTTTATGTTTTCTTTTTTGTATTGAATAATTTGTTTTATATAAAGGCTATAAATTGTTCATTGCAGCAGTTAACAAAAATATTTGTGAATAGTGTACAAAATGTGTTAAATAAGTTAAATTAAAAACATCTGTGGCATACAATTCATCATCTAGATGTTTAATTTAGCACATATTTTAATTCCTAATTAGGAATATTAAAAATCTGAATTATAAAAACCCAGATCCAGATCTATTACTAGTAAATCAAAGGGAAATGTATTACAAAGAAAAAATTTGCTTAGAACTAAATCATTATTTTTTCTGATGTAAAAACATTTTTCAAATGGAGAAAATAGATGACATGCTAGTTTCAACTTCTACAGATATGATGTATAATGTAATCTAATTTTAGCATGTGAAGTGAAACATTTTAATATCCATTATTTTCAGGTCCATGGCAAAATCGTCTTGTTTGGTAATAATCGTGTTCTATATTGTCTTAGCATTTTTAAGGCAGATTATATGATAAGTTTCAATTAAGAGGAGTAGAAAATTGAATAGTAACTCATTTAAATATCATATTTTGTTTATTTTATTTTCACCCGCACGTCTGTAAATAAATTTGTAACTGATTGCCGAGACAGCTTTTCTCAAATATTTTCTTACACAAAGATACCTCAACTTTCGTTCATAATTATTAGGTAATATTCGCTAAATACATAAGTGTAAAAAAAACGCAAAAAAAAACAACTGTTAAACTGTTAAAGATTTATAGTTGTATGTGAGAAAAATTTTGATGATAAGGGACTGTGTCCTATAAATGTGTAATTAATTGTAATTAAATCGTTTAATGTACATTTGTATCAACTTTTTGTACACACTTGTTTATTATAATTTCCTCGCTGATTTCCGTAGGTCATTGATTAATTACTTCACCACTTCATACACTGTATACTTTTAAATGACCACAATAAACTTTTTTAATGCTGTCTTGAATGAATTAATGCATACTATATAGCAAGCATTAGGAAATATTAGTTTGATAATTTGGAAGGTTTTTTTCTTGGTTGTATGCTTCAACTTCAACAAAAATAGAAGTTTTATAATGATTACATGTTTATCAAATTTAAACTTAATTTCAAATTCCGCTCTCAAAAGTCTACTACCATAGATTATGAAAATAACAAAGATTCGTGGATCATAGTTTATCACCTATGGTTAATCACAGTTTATGGACTTTATGGTGTGTTATGGTCATATTTTAGGTTAAAATTTCATAACCGGACAAATGGTGATTAATAAATAAATAACATGGATAAATTTGGTAGAAGTTTATTAAAAAATTATGTTCAAATTGCAAGATTTTACTCAACGAAATCAAAAGAAGAAATAGATAAATTGGTGAAAGGTAAGAATGTAGTAGTTTTCATGAAAGGGGTACCAGAGGAACCACGGTGCGGATTTAGCAATGCGGTAGTACAAATATTAAGAATGCATGGAGTTAAATATGAAGCACATGATGTTTTAAAGGACGAATCTCTACGGCAAGGTAGTACTATAACGAATTAGTGGTTGTGTGCTGGATTACTTTCTACATTTGTAGGAATTAAGGAATACTCTAATTGGCCTACAATACCACAGGTTTATATGAATGGAGAATTTGTTGGAGGTTGTGATGTAATGCTACAAATGCATCAGTCTGGTGATCTCATTGAAGAATTTGAAAAAGTAGGTATCAAGAGTGCTCTTTTAACAAAACATGAGAAAGAACAAAAACAGAAAGAGGAAGCAGAAAAGGGCAAAACAGGTTGAATGTTTTAAAAGTGTTGTAAGTAGTTTAACTGTACATACTTATTATATTCTGTTTGAAAAGGGTAATAAAACCTATCAGGTTTCTTTTATTGATTACAATAACATTAACAAATAAACAAAAAATAATTTGAACAAAAAGACTAGTGGATACAATTGTTTATTGATTCCACTATAATTACTTTTCTACCCAATCCTTCTATAGGTGGTATTTCTTTTAGAGCTTTTCTGTTTTAATGCAGTTACAAGAACTAAAAGCCTTATCTCTTCATTTTTTGGGTAGTATTTAGCAAGCATTGCCTAATAATTATTAATAAAAATGTGGTGTGCAACAAAATATTAATGAAAGACCCCAGTAATATTATTTTGTACTGTATCTAATTGTTCGAAATGTGGTGTTATAGGCGGATGATGAGGATATCGTGGGTAGAAAAGGTTAGAAATGAAGAGGTATTAGAAAGAATAGGAAAACAGAGGACTGTGGAAGTCAATAAAAAATAGGCGAGATAGGTTGGTAGGACACCTTCTTAGGCATGAAGGTCTAGTCAGAGACATATTAGAGGCAGAAACAGGAGTTAGGAGGGGTAGAGGTAGACCTAGATTAGATTACT